CGGGGGCAGGGGCGGGGTGGGGCAGGGACAGTGACGGGGTGGCTCTCACACTGACCCTCACCTTGGCCTGCAGCTCTCGGGCCTGACCAGCACCTTACCCGACACGGTGCTATCCCACCTCTTCAGCCAGGTAAGGGCATGGGACCCCCCCTCACAGGAGCAGGGCTGGCAGGGCTGGGGGTCTCGGGGGGCTTTGGCAGCTGCTGAAGGGCCTGGTTCTGCCCCCTCCCAGCTGGGCAGGAAGCTATGTGGCATCTGACCTGTTTCACTTTGTCCTCTGCTGTTGGCCATGATGCTGGGGCACCTGCAGGACAGATAGGGGGAGACCTCCTCTCACAGCCCTGTGGAGCCTCCCCTTCCCTCCTTGGGTCTCGCCTTCCACCTTTGGGGGGTCCCCACCCCACCTCCCACCACCCTGCCAGGAGTCAAAGGCTGCTCTGGCCGGGACGCCTGCACGGCCCCCTCTGAGCCCGCGTCCCATCCGTGCTCTCTGTCCGTCCCCTGGCCCAGGAGGAGCTGATGAACAACTCGGAGCTGGTGCAGAGCTACAGGCAGCAGATCGGGAATGTGGTGAACCAGGCCAACCTGCAGCTCTTCTGGAACATGTACAACAGGTGTGGGCCCGGGGCACCTGGCCGCACCTCACTGCATCCACCCGAGGGGCAGGCGACGGCGACACGCTGTCCCCAGGCTGTCGATGAGCAGATAGTTAAGCCTCTGAACGGAGCGGAGCCACTTCTTGCCCAGGGTCACACCCCATGAAGGGCAGAGGGAGCAGGGCTTCAGGCTCTGATCCCAGGGCTCGTCCTTTCTTTCTCTTTCCCGGGGCCTGGCCCTTGGGAGCCGTGGGGGATGTGGGGACAGCCCCGATCCCCACAACCCTGAGCCTGCCGTGTACATAGAGGAGGTTGGATGGAGCCGGTGGTTTTCAAGCTGTGCTCCCTGGAGCCTCTTTGGGGGGTTGCCCTGCAGGGAAGTGGCCAGGCCCGCTACTCGCCTGCCTTCACATTTGTATCCCACAAATACTGAGCAGCAGCGGTGTCCCCACACACAGGTGGCGCTCATCCAAGCAGCACTTGGGGGTGGGGGAGCCAAATTGGAGAGCCCACCTGGCGTGAGTTTGGGGGTCTGGGAAAATGTCACGCATGAGGGGAGCCCTGAAGGCCCCTATTTATGCAGGGCAGGTCCCTGTCTCCCTGTTTCAGTAGCCTGGGCCTCCAGGGATGTTGGGCCCTAATTGCCATTGTTGGGGGATGGCTGAAATACAGTGTCCAGCTTGGGAACACCCCACCCAGTCCCAGAATAACCACCTCTGCCTCTCCCTGTAGCCGCAGAGACCTGGACATTAACCGGCCTGGAACGGTGCCTAATGCCAAGACACTCCGGTGAGGGCTCCTCCCTCCCTGCCTCCCCCCCGCTTGCCCCCAACCACCATGCCCAGGGTTCAACCCTTTTCCTCCGTGTCCGCAGCTGCCCCGTGATGCTGGTAGTCGGGGACAATGCGCCTGCCGAGGATGGGGTGGTGAGTGAGGGATTGTCCTCTGGCTGGGGTAGGGACAGGCGTGAGGGGGTCATTGGCATCTGGTCAGCAGGCAGTCCTTGACCCAGCCCAGGGAAACCTCAGGGACAGGCCTGAATGGTGGGCTCCTCATCCCACTTCCCCACCACCTAGCCACGCATCACCGCCTGCCACAGCCCCCTTTCCCCCACTTCGGGTGAGGGAGGCCTGGACTCCTATGGGAGCTGGGGCCAGGGCCAGGCCACCTCCTCGCCGCCCCCCCCCCC